CCCCCCCGGGCCCCCCCCCCCCCCCGCCCCCTGCATCTTGTTTAAGGGAATAACAGAACCTGACATAGAAGTGGCTGGCCGCAAATCGCAGTCAGTCACCCGCGAGCCAGGAAGCAAGAGATACAAGACTCCAAACTCCCAAGTGATGGCTATGACCATGACAGTCCCCCCTCCCCCATCGCCGAGAAAACAAAACACAGAGGAGGAGATTCTGGTCTTTATTAGCCAGCCCAGCCTGCAGCTCCCCTACCCCTAGCCCAGCCCAAGCAGTGAGTCCAGGTCGCTGTGTGGGGCAGGAAGAGATACCAGTGGTTCTACTCAAAACGTATGCACCAGCTGGACTGCGGGCAGAGTCTGGACAATCTGGATGGAGGGCAGGCCCTGCGGGGTCATGCCTCCCGGGGCAGGGCCGGTGGGCACCACTTGTACCATCTGGGAGGCGGGAGCTGTGGAGATGCCCACTGGGACGGAGGCTTGGCCGGGCGGGGGTGGGGCCAGCAGCTGCAGGGTGGCGGCGCCTCCCGCACCACTGCTATTCTCCAGCAGTTCAGCGGCGGGAGCACTACGGATGATGAGCAGTTTCTGTCCCGGTGGGCCAGGGGCAGGAGGCTCGGCCAGCCCAGGGGGTAGCGTCTCTACCTCCTGCACACACAGCTGGGTCTGTTCCCCATCTGCGCCGCTCAACACCAGGACGCTCTGCAGCCCCTCGTCCGTCTGCAGCGTCTCAAAAAGCACGTCCTGGACGACACCAGTACCGGCCTCACCGTCACCTGGCTCCCCGGGGCCGGGACCGGCCAGCAACTCCTCGGCCGCACCGCTCTGAACCACCAGCAGATTGGGGGCGTCGGTGGTCACAGCTGCCCCACTGGGATTGGGCAGCTGGCCTGCCACAGGCTGGAGCTGGACCGTGGTCACCTCCTGGGCCGGCTGGAGCTGGACCGTGGTCACCTCCTGGGCCGGCTGGAGCTGGACCGCGGTTACTTCCGGGGCTGGCCGGAGAGGCTGCAGCTGGACCCCACTCACTTCCTGTGGGCCTGTCTCCCCACCCCCTACATTCTGTAGAACGATCAAGCTCTGCCCTCCCCCACTGGCCCCTGCGTTGCCCCCGCCCTGAACCCCTAGTCCCCCAGGACCGGGCAGCCATACTACTCCAGGCCCCTGACCAGATTTCCCAGCTGCCCGCGGGCCCTGCCTCCCACGGCCGTTCCCCGCAGCAGCACCAGGGGACGGCAGCAGGATGAGCTTGGCGGGAGCGGGCGGGGGCGGCGGCGTGGGCGGCTGGACGCTGCTGGGGATGAGCTGGAGGCCCTGAGCGGTCTGCACCAGGAGAAACGTCTGGGAGTTGGGGACTGCCTGGCCCGGGGGCGGGGCCGGCGCCGGGCCCCCCGCAACCTCGAGGGACAGCGTGGCCTGGAGGTGGGGGAGGACGTGGACGTCTTGTGTGGCAGCGGGGGCCGGCGCGGCGGCCAGCGGGGCTGGGGGCTGCGAGCCGGCGGCGGGGGCCGCGGGGCCGGCGGCCGCGGGGGCCGGGGCGTGCGTCCTCAGGTGCCGCTGCAGGTAGGCGGCCATGACGAAGCTGCGGCCGCAGATGGGGCAGGCGAAGGGGCGCTCGGCCGAGTGGGTGCGCTGGTGCAGCAGCAGGTTGGACGAGTGCGTGAAGGTCTTGGGGCAGAGCGGGCAGCGGAAGGGCCGCTCGCCCGTGTGCACGCGCTGGTGCTGCCGCAGGTTGGACGTCTGCGCGAAGCTCTTGCCGCAGACGCCGCAGGCGTGCGGCCGCTCGCCCGTGTGCACGTGCCGGTGGCGCCGCAGGCACGACGTGTTGCGGAAGGCCTTGCCGCACTCCCCGCAGGCGTACGGCCGCTCGCCCGAGTGCAGCCGCAGGTGGTACTGGTAGTGCGACGACCACTTGAAGGTGAGGCCGCACTGGCCGCAGGTGAAGGCCCGCAGGCCCGTGTGCACGCGCTGGTGGATGGCCAGCAGCGACGAGCGCTTGAAGGCCTTGCCGCACTCGCCGCACTGGTACGGGCGCTCGCCCGTGTGGTCCCGAAGGTGGTAGCGCAGCCCCGAGGAGCCCTTGAAGGCCTTGCCGCACTCGGCGCATTTGTAGGGCCGCTCGGCACAAGCCGGCGTCTGCGCTGGCGCGGCCGGGGCGGCCGGGGCGGGAGCGGCCGTGACCAGCGGCTCCTGGGGGCAGGTGACCTCGGCGGCCTCCGCCTGGGGGGGCGGGCGCCCCGCGGCCGCCTCTTCCACGTGGCACTGCTGGTGCGCCAGGAGGCTGGCCAGCTGCGGGAAGGCGCCGTCGCAGCTGCCGCAGCGGAACGCCTGCCCGCCGGCCGCCCCGTGGCTGTGCTGGTGGCGGGAGAGGCCGGCCACCGTCCGGAAGGACTTCCCGCACGGGAGGCAGGCGAAGCCCGGGGCGGCGGCGGCAGGCGGGGGCTGAGGCGGAGGGGCCGGCGGGGACCGCGAGGGCGGCGGGGCGGCGTCCGCCTTGGGTGCCGCGGTGGCCTGGCCGTCCTGGGGCGGCGTCGCCGCCTCGGGCCCCGGGCAGGGCTGGTGCTCCAAGAGCAGCTCCTCGCTGCCGAAGCCCAGCTCGCAGCCGTCGCAGCGGTACACCAGCTCCACCGTGGTCTCCGCCGCGGCCAGGAAGAGCTCGGGCACCACGGGCGGGGGCGCGGGGGGCGGGGGGGGCGCGGGCGCGTGCAGGTAGGCGTCGGACACCAGGACCTTGGCGCCGGGCTCGGGCTGCGGCGGGGCGGGGGCGGGGGCGGCGGCCCCGTGGGTGCGCTGGTGCAGCAGCAGGTTGGACGAGTGCGTGAAGGTCTTGGGGCAGAGCGGGCAGCGGAAGGGCCGCTCGCCCGTGTGCACGCGCTGGTGCTGCCGCAGGTTGGTGCTCTGGGTGAAGCTCTTGCCGCAGACGCCGCAAGTGTAGGGCCGCTCGCCCGTGTGCACGTGCCGGTGGCGCCGCAGGCTGGACGAGTTCTTGAAGGCCTTGGGGCAGTCGGGGCACGGGTACGGCCGCTCGCCCGTGTGCTGCCGCAGGTGGTACTGGTAGTGCGACGACCACTTGAAGGCCAGGCCGCACTGGCCGCAGGTGAAGGCCCGCAGGCCCGTGTGCACGCTGCGGTGGATCTGCAGCAGCGACGAGCGCTTGAAGGC